GGGGGGGCGGGGTTTATCACACAACAAGCTCATGCATTCCTCCACAACCTTCCAACTTGAATTCTACCCTATTTCTTGCTTCTCCCTATAACTAAAATTTGCCCCATAAATAAGCCATAACCAAATATGAATTTATGATAAATTTCAATTCCTACTCGGTGAGAGAATATCAGTAAAGATTTATATACTTATGTCAATTCCCTTTTTCTAGAATAGCCCTTATCCAAGTATCTTTTTAAGATACTTTAATATCCTATATTCAATATTAAGATGCTCCTTTGTGGGGTTATTCATAAATTGACTAATAATACTTCCAGGAAAACAAATATCGTCTAATATAAAATAGTAGATACGTTTCCCTACTAAACACTAGTACTTAATAGGAGTTAACTTTTTCCTAATCTCAATTTTATTTAAATGATCTATTGGTGTGTTTGTATGCTTAAATCCAAGAATCCCAATTTCCTATAGCAAGTCAAAGATATATTTCAATTATGAGTACATATTCTCTTCCTTAATCAAGCTATTTTAATGCATAAGAAACATTTTAATGAAACAAACCTTGATTACGCATTCTTTCACTAAGACACCTTATAGCTTGTTAATCTCTTCTTCATGGTCTCCTATTTAGATGATATCATCAATATAAAAAATTATGATAGACATTTTACTTTCAGATGATTATTTGATGAATAAAGTGTGATTATATTGCTCTTGGAAGACCCCATGCCTTTTTATTACCAAGGTAAATAAATCCAACCAAGCTCTTACCGATTGTTTTAAGCCATATAAAAGTTTCTTAAGACTGCAGATTAAGTTTGTGTTACTCTTATTCCCATATCCAAGAAGAAATGCTATATTGACTTCAATATGTAAATTCCCATTTAGAAAGGCATTTTTCACATCTAGTTGGTAGAGTTATCAATTTAAACAAATAACAAGAGAGAAAATTAACCTGATATTGTTCTTAGCAATCTGAACAAAAATTTCTTGATAATCACTGCCATAATTTGAATTAAGCCTTTTGACACTTGCTTTACATTGATTGATACTTCCGTTTCCTTTGTAATTCACATTAAATATCCATTTGTATCCAACAGCTTTTCTCCATTTGGGAAGGTTTAACAGCATCCAAGTCCCATTTATTTCAATTGCTAGAATTTTTTCACTAATTGCATTTTTTCTTTCAAGAATTTTAAAGCTTCATGAATATTATTAAGAATTCACAAGCTAGAAAGATTAGTGGTAAAGGCATAAAATTTATAAGATAGTTTGTCATAAGAGATATCATAACTAATTGGTTGATTAGAGCTTTTCTTAAAAGCAGAAACAGCCAATAAAAATACATTTTATGGCTTTTCGTTCTAATTTACTTCTTTAAAGAGGAGAAATGCGGGCGAAGGCATAGCAATCGAACACTTATATAAAAATGGCGGAGAATAGTCTATTGGCGAGAAAAGCATGTTCAAGAAATTGGCAAGGAGTTTCGAATTTTAGATTCTTGATAGCAAATGGTCAATGAGATATATGGCAAATCAGGATAATGTCCGCCCAATAATTGATGCAATCAAAAAATATAGGGGGCCCTATATTTTTTATCACAAAAAGATGACAAGACTACGACGACAATAAGAGACTAATTACGAGAAATGTAAGAACAAACTCTTACATTTCTAACAAAATAAAAACACTTAGAACAAAAACTCTTGCAAAACCTAAACGACTCAAACAAAACGACTCCCTAAAGCATTTAAAACTATAAATAACATTTAATAAAAAGTAAGATAATAAATGAACTAAAATGTTAGCTAATAATGAGCTAACCCTTAGTTCAATAAATGAACTAAAGTCCAGCTCATAAATGAGCTAAAATTTCAGCTCAAATAGTAGACTCAAGGGAAGCCAAAAATCATATTATTTTTGACATGGGTTGACCCCCCTTTTGTCTACATCAGATTCCCCTTCTTGTGAAACTCATCTCCCGATGAGTTCGCTTTAGATTTGTTTCGAGGAGGTGAAGACGGTGCATCAAGTTCATTAATCAGGTCTTCATACTTCTGCATGATCTCATCTCGTTCTTTCAGGAATTTATCTTGTAAACGCTGCTTTTTCTTGAAGTAACTTTCTGTACGTATGTGCATCCAAGATTGAAGCTTGTACAGCTCATACTCCAAAGGATGTTTTGATTTAGATGGGATCCATCTATCCATTGATTCATCAATTTCTTCTGGCTTGCTTTCTTCTGTCTTTTTCTTTTTTTCATTTTTTTGACTGACTCAAAAAAGACTCAAAAATTTCTAAACTCAAAGAAAGACTCAAAAGACTCAACCTGAACTTAGACTTAAAATAAGACTCTTTGACAAACTTGACAAAACAAAAATTGACAACAAAACTTTGACAAACTACCACTTGACGACTAAAACAAATTTGACAACCTAAAATTTGACGACCAAATCCTAGGACTTCCTAACTTGCTCTGATACCAAATGATGCAATAAAAAAATATAGGGGGCCCTATATTTTTTTATCACAAAAAGATGACAAGACTACGACGACAATAAGAGACTAATTACGAGAAATGTAAGAACAAACTCTTACATTTCTAACAAAATAAAAACACTTAGAACAAAAACTCTTGCAAAACTTAAACGACTCAAACAAAACGACTCCCTAAAGTTGCTTCACTTAGAGAAGAGGGATACAGGTGGAGTGGCACTTGCGGAGAGACGAAAGAGGTTAGAAGCCCGAGAAGAAAGAGTGGAAAGAGCCCGCAGGATTTCCGGAGGGAATGAGAAAGAATGATGGAAAGAGCCCGCAGGATTTTCAAACAAACCCGCAGATTAGATTTTCTCCAAAAATCAAATATCATTCACTCAACATAACACATTACAAACCATCTCATATATATAGGTATGAGAAGAGAATATGAAAAGACACAAACATTAACTAACACAAGAACCTAAACATCATAAGCATTAAACCTATTAATGCATTGCACGAAAAAACATCCCAAGCCATGGAACCGAAGAGGTAGCTACGGGAGCCAAGGAGGCCGCACAGGAACCAAGGAGGCCGCACAGAAAAGGAGCCCAGGCACGGGAAACCAGCAGCCGGCCGTATTCCAAGGGGGCAAAAGCACTTAAAAAATTAAAAACCTTGGTGGAAACCAAGGGGTCATACATGGGAATACTAAACACCATTCTTGGGATTCCAAAAGCCCTTTTTGGAACCCCAAGAGACATCATAAAGTAGACATTTAAAACTATAAATAACATTTAATAAAAAGTAAGATAATAAATGAACTAAAATGTTAGCTAATAATGAGCTAACCCTTAGTTCAATAAATGAACTAAAGTCCAGCTCATAAATGAGCTAAAATTTCAGCTCAAATAGTAGACTCAATGGAAGCCAAAAATCATATTATTTTTGACATGGATTGACCCCCCTTTTGTCTACATCAATAATATTTTGGGATAAGACTAATGATCATAATTAATTGACACTTGCAAAAGAGGTCTATTTTTCCTTTATGCTATCCTACTTTATTGAGTATGAATAAACGAAGTTTGATAAATTTTATTTTACTGAAAGAGATATTCTCATAGAATTGAATGAAAATATTCTTTCATATTGTCAATCCAAAGAAATTGAATTTGGGTTTGCAATCTAGTTTTTATAGAGCAAATTTTTTGAAAAATTGACTTCCTACTAGCTACTGCCCTCTCTTCCTTCCCCTATTAACTTCCTACTAGCTACTGCTCTCTCTTCCTTCCCCCATTATTTCCTCATAGTTGCTGCCCCCACTTCCCTCCCCTATTAATTCTCTAGTGCTGCCACCCCTTCTCCTCTTCCCTTTTCTTTTCTTTAGCCAACAACCTCTCTCCCAAACAGCCACCTCCTCTTCACTTTTAGCACGTCAAAACCGAACTCCCTATCCCAAACTATGGACAGCCCCGTCATCCATGGATGTTGATTCTGAGCTTGATCATGACTTAGTACTTGACGATCAAGGCTTAGTCAACATTCACTGGTCTCCATTCTTTAACATCGACTTCAAGATCGACCACATCATCAAAGAATATGTTGATTGGATTAGATTCTCTATTGCAACCGCCATTGATCATCGAAGACCACTTGTCCAATGGCAACTCAACTCCAGTTCACCCACTACTTCTTTTCCGGGTAGCTTTTTGTTACTCAAAACATTAAATGTTTACTTCTTAGTGATGTTGTTAATATCTTATCATGTTTTCTTCTACTGAAATTATTTAAAGAGTGTCAGTGAGGGAACTTCATTGTGATTGTTCTAATTGTAAATTGTGGGATTTGTGTGACTTGCGGATAAGTACTTATTATCTTGGTTATTAATTTATTTTTCCCCACCAATACTTGTAATTGCTTGCTATTACTTTATCAACAATTTAGAAGTCTCTTAAATCGGACCTTGGTCACCATTAATATATATAATTGCTAAGGTTGTCAATTTAGTATTATTCCAAAGCAATTCCTGAATCTAGCATTTGTTTCACATTAAAGTGGTTATAATGTGATCATCCATGAATAATGTAAACCAACTAACACCTGAGATTGTCCCTATATGTTATTATAAATTGTAGCAAAGGGTTGCGAAGTTTAGAGGGATGACTAGGGTGGAAGGTTAAGTGTGTTTGAAATGCCTCTGAATTTATATTGATAAAAAGAGAATGAAATGTTTTTTTACAAGATATTAAAAGAATTCAAAATCTTACATTTTTTACAGTTACATTGATTTCTTTTAGTGCAAAAGACTCGAAGAAGTTTTCTTGGATATTAGTGTGATCATGATATCTTGATTCATGGTAGAGGAAGACACCAAATGAATACTTATTTTCAAGTCCATTTCATGTTTAACTATTTTGTGTTCAACTATCATCATGATTAAAAAAAAAAAACTCTTAAAGAATGAGGCAGTACGTGCCCATGAGGCAGTATGAGGACACGGGCCTGCGATTAAGCAAGTTAAGCAAGCATGACGAATGCATTTGATTCGTCTGTAGGAGACAAAGCTCAAAGAAATTGAGGCTGTCGAACTCCAGCTTGAACCATGATCTTAAAATGCTCTTCCTGCCCTACTTCACTACGAGCCTCTTTTCCTCTCCATTGCAATTGTTTTCCTTGCTGTCTTCCTAATCTCCCCAGTCTTTCTGTCGAGCCTAAGTTGCTTAGTCAAACATTTGAGAAATCAGCACGCAAGAAGGTCACAAGTTATATGCTGGTGAGACGTGGTCAAAGTAATGAACATGTGAAGGTGCTTGCGTGAGGTTGCAACTCGATGAGAAATGGGTTGTGATATCGGCAAGGCTCAAACGAGCAAAAAATGGGCTCTTATAGATCTTAATAAAGATCTTTATCTACAAGATCTTCATGGAACCTTTGAAGACGAAGGGAAGTCACTTTTTGTCTAGCAAAATCAAGTTTAGCTCTAATAGATTTTTGAAATAAGTGCAAGAATACTACATATTTTTTCTTATTCAAATAAGTAAAAGAGATACACTATTTATAAGGGAGACAAGCCATAAAGAAAATATAGAAAAGAATTAACCTAATTAATTAAAATCAAATTAGTACAACAACAACAAATCTTTATCCCATTGTGCGAGGTCAACTGAATGAATCCTTTTTCTCCATGGTGTTGTATTAAGAATCAAATTCTCATTTAAATCTAATAAAAGAAGGGCTTTTTAATGTTTTCTAACCAAGTCTTTTTAGTCTAACTCCACCTTTCGTAACATAGAGATATATCTAATACATCTACTTTTCTAATTAATTGCAATCAATTTAGTATTTAACAAAATATTTACATAAGAAAATAATCGTTGGTGGACTGCAAATGAAAGGTGAAATAATGGTGGATTGCTTAAGATGGCAATCCGCCAAATTGGATATTGCAGGTTAGCAGCATTTACATCCGATAGAGGAGGTGCAAGAGCTATAGGTTGCCAATTTAGCGAGGGAGGTAGAATACTATAGATTACCAAGGTGACGCAAAGGAATTGAATGCAGCATCTAAAGTGCAAGTTCCAAGATCTCTACATCAGAAAATAACTCAAATGCCCAAAATAATAGTTATTCCAGAAACTCGGCAACATCCAAAATATTTATAAAACAAGTAAGCTGAAACCCCACAAATAACAAATACTTGCCTTGAATGTTGGGGTTAAAAGACCATTCTCCACGGTGAAAGGCTCTGGTACTAGGGTGACAGCTTTTGCAAATTCAAAACCTCGCAGCTGTTGACATTTGGATGGTTATAAGAACATTTTGTACTGATAAAGTTTCATAAAGCATAGAATCACCAATTAAGTAAGATAAGTCACCTGAGCTTGCTTTCCTACGTCATCCATCTCTGTAAGTACAGCAGCTCGTGCCCTTGGATCAGCACAAAGCTGTTCAAGGTTCTCATACTGCCAAAAATGAAAAACAAAATAGAAAAAAGATTAATTTGTGAAGAGTGGTCACTTTTCTGTATTCCAGGTATAAATGCAGTTGATTCCCTGCTATTTTATCATGTTCGGACTTCTCCAAAAGAGAAAAAAAACAAAAGAAAGACAGGTTATCTCTTAATTAATTTGAATATAATTATAGTCTATGTTAAATCAGTGAAGATCTCATCAATAAAGAGTAAGAAGGAAATCAAAACTACAGCAAGAGCAATAAAGAATCCACCTGGATTTCTTTTGATGCAGCCCAAGCAATCAACATGTCAGGCTCAACTGCTACTATTGCAACAAGACACGAGTTAAAGCTGTCACCTGCATCCAAAAGGCAATTATGAATATGCATATTTGTTTCGCAGAAAATACTATGAAGAAATTTGAGGTTCAATACTGAGATAAAAGAATTAAACTTACCGTAGATAAAGCACTGGGAAATAAATTTGCATTTTGCATATACATTTTCAATTTTCTCAGGAGCTATGTACTCCCCTTGAGCCAATTTAAAAATGTTCTTTTTCCTACAGTTTTTGAAAGAGCAAATGAATGCAATCAGACAACATGTGTTCTTAGATATGCACAAAGCAGAGATGTACCAACTCTCAAAAGAGGTTAATCAATAATCATATAGATTTTAACAACTTTTTCATGCATTTTATTAAAACTTCGAAAGCAAGACGTGATCTGCTGTATCACACAAAAGAGAGGGTCAAACAGGTATAAAATAATACAATTTAAAGCGACCATATTGTTGAAAAATATACGAGAGAAGCACCAATACTTTCCATTCCAAAGAGAGCGCCAATGCACACTAAATATAGAGAATGCATAGGAAAATATGGGAATCCTGATAATACGAATCCCAAATGGGTGATATCAAGAGGTGAGGTGGAAAGAGAATGGCTGGAGTTGTTGATCTGCAATAGGGGAATGGATTGATGGGAGAAGTTCCAGAAAGGTCAGATCTCCACAAGATTTAGAGCCCTTTGCAGCAGCAGGGATGATGGAGCAAATGCTTAAGCGCCATCAGAGAAAGCAATAGCTGTGTGTGGCAGGGAGGACGCCAATACCAAAGGCATTGCACCATTGAGATAACATCAAAGGTAGAATGCCGTAGACAGGGAAGGACAAGCTGGTATGATAAGGAGAGACCAACGAAGATGATGGATAAGGAGATGCGCCCTAGACGATGCTAGAGCTGGAGTTTGCTCCGAGTAGGTGTTCGTGGTTTTGTTAGGTTTGTACAACATTTAAAAGGGTTTGCATTAGAATGAGGAATCATTAGGTCACATCAAAAAAGTATAATGCACACTTTTTTATTAATCTAAAAAACAATGCTCACAAGAATTACTAAATATCAACTAGTCAAACAATTTGAGCTAAATAAATAGCTTTAAAAAAAATAAGAAATACACTTGAGTGGTCATCACATGTTTTCATTTCTCCTTTGTAATATGCGCAAGGAATGAATGAACTAGTAAAATAAAAACAACCACATTGCTTACTAATCTAACAAATAATATTCTATCCATACTTCACATAGCAAGGATTTGTTGGGGTGTCTAAAGGTTGGCGGTGTTGGGCACAATCAAGTGTGAGGAGTTCTAGCACACATAATAGACCCAATGGGGGGGTTTGTTAGTAGTGAGGAGGGCGTGCAAGCAAGGATGAAGATGCGTTCCCTAGATGAGAAAAAGGGACAAAAGAAGATCGCATAAATGAGGGCATCCTATGAGGCCAACTATTTCATTATGATTATTAGAGAAAATTTCTTAGAGATTTACACCATGATACTAAAATCTTCGACAAAAAATTCATTGAAATTCTACAACTTACCATTTTCAATCAAATTTAAATGAACTAGAAATGATACATGTAGCTTATTAAAATTCAGCATAAAAATTGCTTAGCTGATGCATTCATGATTTTTGTATTTTTATTATCAAACATTGCACATTAGTTTTTCATTTAGTTTTATATTTCTTTTAGCTATCCAATGATGGAAGGCATCCAATGATCATGGTAGGTTGCCCTTGGGCTTGGTAGACCTTGGTTTGCTAGCTTGTTTGGGTCCCTTGGGTTGCTGCTGGTTCTCGGGTTGGGCTTATGGTTCTCAGTTTTGAGCTGTGTTGATATTGAGAGGTGGTGGTTACTTTGGTGTTGAGCTATATTTTCAAAAGTGCTAGCTCATTATTTTTGAGCCTTGGTTAGCTCATAATGAGCTGAAGTTTAGCTCATTTATTTAAGATTAATGGAAGTTCATTATGGTGGAACTTGATCATTTCCCTTCCCCATGCTGCCTCTCGTTTTCCTCCTTGTCTCCTCGGTTTCCTTGGGCTTTTGTTGTTCCCGTGGCCCTGGCTATTTTTCCTGTGCTTACGGTTCATTCTCTGTGCTGGCTGTTCGGGACCACTGCTGGCTGGGTTTCCTGTGGCTTCCAGCTGGGTTTTCCGTAGCCTTTTTGCTCTGTTTCTTGGGCCGGCTTGGGAGCTGTTGTTTTGTGGCTGTTGGTCTTTCATTTCCCTAAATCTAATTGGTTTGGTTGGAGGTGTTATGGTTATTTGGTTCCCATCTCTTGCCTATATATAGAAGATGTTTTGGAAGGAAAAGGTTGTTGAATATTGTTGAACAAAGTCTGTAAAACCTGAGGGTTTTCTCTTCTTGAAAAAGCTTGAGAGCTTGTTCCACTTCTTTTTCTTCTCTACTTCGTCTGGGCTTCTTACCTCTTCTTCTCTAAGCAAGTTCCACCCCACCTGTATCTTTCTTCTTGAGCTTCCTAGTGTTATTGGTTGGCTGATTTGGGAGCATTTGCCGGAGGAGTTTGGTTGGACGTTTGGACCTTCTTGCTGTGGTGGACCATCGGTTTGCTAGCCCTAAGCATATACTTTACTTTACCTACATTTCGATGCATGTGAGGAAATTATTATGTCGGTTGTTCTGAGGATAGCATTCCTTTATTTTTCTTTTGTTTCGTTTGATTTCAATTCTCGTTTTGTCCATGGGTTTTGTGTTTTGGATGATTGCTACTATTTGAATCGAGTTTGGTTTAAGTGTTGCCCATCGTTCTCCTTATCTGATTTTTCTTTCTAGTTTGCCTACTTCATTAACAAAACCTGCTAGTAAAACTCATCAAAGATTGACAGCTTTCCAGTAGTTTGTACATCATTTGAATTCAATTCCCTCACATGATTATAAAATGCATTCCATTAGGGACTAAGGTTTACATCCCGAAGATTTGAGAGAAGGCCTAGAGGTTTAAACTTATAACCTATGATATACATACACGAATATGACAATATGGACATGACACGAATATGGAGATACGGGCAAGAAACGAAAACGAGACACATAGATTATTATAAATATATGACACTGGAACAAGTTAGACGTGATATTATAATTTTAATATCCTTAAAATAGTGTTTAAAAATTGAATAAGTAAAATACTAAGAATCATTGAGAAAAAATAAGTCATTTATTCAAGATTTGTGCTTAAAATGATTAATATTAGGATGTCAAGAGTCGAGCGTCAATGTCGTGTTAGGCAAAGATAGAAAAGATGCAATGCTCTCGATAGTCGAGCATTATTGTTGTGTAATGGGTATCAAGTATTGATGTCAAGATGGCATCGGCCATCGATCTTGAGATGAAGTTGTTCATCGATGTTAATAAAACATTAGACAAACATGAGATGTCGAGATGGAATGCAGGAGTGATTGTACGTGTAAAAATTGCTAACGTCGAGTGCCAATGTTCATATAATGTCAGACTTTGATGTTGAGATTATTTTGAAATATTATGTTGCGATGATATTAGATGTTGATATTGAGATGACATCGAGCATTATTGTAAAACCCCATCCACAACCTACCAAAGAGAAATGAAAATGATAATGTTCAGAAAATAAGGTAATGAGCGAGGGCGATTAATTTGGGGTTTTGGAGAAAAAATAAAAAATTTAATTTTCTTTTTTTACAAAATAAAAATGTGAGATACAATAAATTATATGTCACAACCTAGTCCGGATGCTTGATTTAACGAGGCGAGAACAAAAAGTCGGACAATAAAATAATTCAATACAACTCACACACAATACAACATACAACTTTCTCAAAAACAACTAAAGAGCCACTATTTCATAATTTTCTCAAATATTTAACATTTGTATAATACATAATTACCTATTTTCATTTTCTCGCCGTCTTCTATAGACATACTCCTCCCTTCTACCATTTTCAAATTCTTTGGAGACTTACCTAGAAGATTTATCTAATGGAATGAGTTTACAAAATAAATTCAATGGGTAACTGTTAAAATTAAATGAGTTTACAAAGTAAACTCAGTGGATAACTGTTAAAATGAAATGAGTTTACAAAGTAAACTCAATGAGTAACTGTTAAAACAATTAACATGAAAAATACAATACGTACAACCTTTAATATACATCTATTCATTTAAAATTTAATATACATTCTCTTTCTTATCTTTATTTCATTTATTTCAATCATTTATGCATATCATCTCACATTCCTATTCCTTTATAATATTTATAATACTTTAATATGTATTCCTTCTCACAAGAATATAATGATTTAATTAAAATTAAATTTCAATTAAATATCTCAATAAGCATTGTATTTCTTCTACAAACCTACCTCACAAGATTTCCTTTCCTTTTTCGCAAAACTTCATCCACCGTCAAACCAAAATCTATATCACTTGGCTTCTTCCAACCTAAATTAAAATATAGTTCACATTGTTTATTCAGTAAAAGAAACAAGAAATGAAAACATATGACCTCAAACTAAATTACTTACCTTTCCTTAAAAAGGAATTCCAAAGTTCAATTCCTTTTTCTTTCTCTTCGCATTCGATCTCTTTCTTTTTTGTTTATGAAAATGTTTCTTGCTTTATTTGAAAGAAAAATAAGGAAATTTATACCAAAAGGAAAGAAGAAAATCAATAACCTGCTTCCCTTTTTCTCCTCAGTCATTTCTCTCATTCATTAAAATTTCTTCTAAATTATCACTTCTTTATAGATAGGAATAAGAAAAAATTGTTAATTCTTATCCTCCCACGCAATCGTTCTCTAAAAATGGCAAAACGGATCTAAAAAATCTTCCTTCGCATGCGTTCGGTCCGCCCAGACGTTCCGCCCTTCTGTTTCGTTCACATGCGTTCGGTCACTCGAATTCTAACTCAACTTGCGGTTAATTGCTGATGTAGGCAGGGGGGGGGGTCAAAACATTTTGAATATTAAATTTGGTGAGCTTTTAGGTCCTCTATTAGTATCAGCTCATTAATGTCTGGTAGAGAGCATTTTTAGCTCATAAATTGATGTTCATTCCCCCAATTTGCTGTCCCTTTGGTTCCCGTGGATAGCTGTTGGGTTCGCCTGCCTTGGCTCCTTGGTTCCCACGATTGGCTTTTGGTTTCCTGCGCTGGGAAGAATTCCGTGCCTTGCCCCTTGGATTCCTAAGGCTGGCTCCTTGGTTCTTGCGGCTGCCTCTTCGGGTTCCGC